TAATGTCGCAGCAGTTCCAGTCCAGCGGCAGTAACAGCACGGAAACAATAGTGGTTCAAAAAACGCCTGCGGCCGGCTTCATTTTTCGCGAATGTTCGCTTGAAATGGCAGAAACCGCGCCCCGCACACCAGAATACAACATGGCGTTAGGACGATCACTCGATTCACTATCATTCAAAGCAACGAGCGGGGCAAAAGAGGCCAATGCAGCGACAGGACAGGCGATAACACGAAACGAGTGAGTTTGTCCTCACCGTTTGCGTGTCTTTTCGCGGTGTTTCGTGCTTCTTTTCTCGACTTGTAGTATTCTGAGATATTATGACATATTGTCCAATCGAGATACGCGCGATTGGAGGAGGATGAGAAAGAGTAGTTTCATGCCTGCGATCGAATCCCATTTCGCCCAGCGTTGACTTCGAGCTGTCTAGACCAAGCGTCTTGACGGTTTTGCTTTCTTTTTGCTACTGGGTTCGAACCTGTTTGGTTGCGCTTTCTTTTTTGATTTTTATTATTTTTTAATGCTATTTTATTTTAATTTTATTTATTTTTTAATTTATTTTGTAATGTCACTGCTTCAGTCTACCATTTATTTTTTATTTTATTTTATTTATTTTATTTATTATTTTACATCGAGTGCAGATCGAGATGGCCAGCAGTGACATTTGTGAGTGTGCCACAACAAAAAGAAAAAGATAAAAAAAACAAAAGCAAAGAAGAAGGCGAACACAGCCGTCGCGCGGCTTGTGGTCATTGACCTTTACCTCTCTCTGACTGTGCAACAGTCAACGCACGCAAGCGATGCTGATGTCAGGAGGACAAGAGGATGGAGGTAAAGATAAAAAAAAAAAGATTAAAAAAAAAAGATAAAAAGGCGCGATAAAAACAAGAAAAAAAAGAAAAGAAAGATGCGGTCGTCTGCTGCCTGCAGATCGATGCCGACTGCGCGGATGCGCGGAAAACACTCATCTCACATGGGTATAGAAGGAAGACACGGAGAGATGCGAAGGAACGGCAGAAAAGCGATAGAAAGGGGAGAAAATACAATTTTTTAAATCAGCTAGGGCGGGAATTGGCGGGAAAATGTATTTTTCAAAATTTCGCGCCCAAAATCACATATTTTTTTTATTGTCTCGCACTCCAGCCTCACCTTGGAATATGATCACAAGTAGCACAGCATCCACTTGATGTCCAAGATTGTCATTGACGCGCTTCAGCGGGCGGCGGCTGTCGAGCTGGATCAAGTCAAACAAGCACTACGCTGCAAAGAACAAGAACATTGCGAAAAAAACTTGAGATTCGCACTCGTCACATCGCACAAGCTTCTTTCCGTCCAAGTGGTGCTGAGCTCGGTACGCATACTGTTCGATTGGAGAACGCAACAGACGAAATACTCACTGTGAGCTGATGTGTCGCAGGCGTGTGAAACTGATGATCGAGACGGAGTCAATCGCAATGTTCGGCCAGCAAGACAACGTGTCTCGTTGAAGCAAACGTGTAAGTCCCCGCCGTCAGCTGTCATGCATGATGACACAGAACAGTGACTAACTTGTGATTCCTACTTGAACAGATGCGGAAAGGAGCAAAGCGGAGCTCGGGGCTGCAAGATGCTTGGCCACTGTGCTACCAGTCACGCCCTCCAAAGGCAAGTACAAAGCACCAGCAAGGTGCAGGCGGGGGCGATCTGAGATTTTTGTAAATTTGTGCAAATATGGAAACCAATAATAAAATAAATTTTATTAAAAATTAAAAAAAAATCATTTTTAATAATATAAAAGGAGACCAAGAAAGCAAATTCTGACCAATCAGACGTCGAGCTATCGCCATATTCTCGCTCTGCTGAGCACCGAATTTCGACAAAATGATAAATTCGGTTTTTCCGAATTTTGACCGAATTTTGGTCCGAAATCCGCAAAAAAATTTTCCACTGTGTGCCAGGACCCGAAAAGAGCTTTCCGCGGTTCCAGATGAGGTCGTTGCTTGCTGCAAAATCGAGTTGCAAAACAATTTCCATCAATTTTGGCCTTCTTTGCGAAGGGAAACCGAGCTAGAACTTTGAAACTTGCAGGGTTTGATAGTTGTTGAACAACGTTAAGCCTTGTGTACGAATGATTGGGCGAGGCCGACGCGAATTCGCAAATTAAAATCGGATAAAAAGTGGCACAAAAAGCGCGCCGATTTCTTTGGGTTTCGCATTTCGACTTTGCCCAATTTCCCGCAGGCAAAAAATTAAGTGCTGCCTTGGCAGTCTAAACGCCTCACAATTGCAAGCACCGCTTTAGTTGAGTTTGTTCATGTCAGGACCCGCAGGCTCTGCGGTCCCGACTGGGTCGTTCTTTGCTAAGAAGACTCGGCGTTGATGTCTTTGTATTGTTTGTATGCATGCATTTGGAATTGCAGTTCAGTCTGCAAAGTGAAATAAAACACTTTACAACAACATTGCCTGGCTAACCCTAACAAGGTCTTACACATTGCAGACTCTGACTACAGTCACCCGATGTCTGTTGTAACCGATCCAACCAGCGCTTCGACTAGCGCTGAGGCAAGCACGGGCCCCGCGGCAAACACGAGGCAACAGACGGCTGCGAGAAAAGAGAAGATCGCGCTTCTTCGGGCGCAGCTCGCTGCTTTGGAGCTCGAGAACTCTGAGCTGGAAGGAGACTCCAAGAACGATGAGGAGACACCTCAACAGGATGAAGATCTGAAGGATCTGACGAAAGCGCACCAGGGTCAAGGCGGCGTGATCAAAACTGAAACGGACGTCGAGCCGCAAAAGCTGGCTTCGTCATCGTCAGTCCCACCGCCAGCGGTCTCAACCCCGGCGGTCCACCAGCCCGCACCCCGTCCGCAGGCAGTCGACTGGCAGCCCGCCAAGGCGCCCAAGCTGCTAGCCCCCTCGTTCGACGGCACGGCGGCAAAGCTGACCCAATACGAGAAGGACTTGAAGCGTTACCGATCGTACTTTCCAGAGGAGAGATGGAACGAGATCCTGTCTCTCACCTTGGTCGGGTCGGCCGCCGATTGGTTCGCCTCTGGCAGCGACAAGTGATGGAGGCTCTCGCACCAGGAGCTCTGCTATCGGCTCCGGCTCCGTTTCGGCGATCCCAACGAGCGTCCCACTGCGAAGAGGGCGATTGTCAACATGAGCAAGCTGTCGGTGTTGGAGATCCAGACGGTCCTCGACAAGTATGCGGAGGTGTCGGGTCTGTCAGAAAGCGAGATCGCGAAGGCTATCTGGGCCGCCATGTCTTCCGAAGTCTACCAGTTCGCGCGGATGGAAAATATATCCAAGGATCTCCCGCCGTCTGAGCTCATGGCGAGCCTATGGGCGGTGCAGGAGTGGGAGAGCCGAAAGGTCACAGCGGCGCCGCCTCAACCGCAGCCGCAGCCGAGCTACAAGGCGCCGTTCTATGGTCAGCGTGCGGCTCAACCGAAGCAGCAGCCTTCCCAGCCGCAGAAGCAGCAGACCAGCGTGGTGGCGGCGGTGGCGTTCGCGGAGGCTATGGCGGCCAAGTACAACTTGTCGGCGGAGGAGCTCGAGAGACGTCGTCGTGAGCACCTTTGTTTCCGCTGTGGCTCTGGAACCCATCTCAGGAAGACATGCGGTCAGGCCCCGGCGGTGGCGGCAGTTCAAGGTGAAGCCGCGCAGGGAAAAGCCCAGCCCGACTCCCCCTGAACGCGGTAGGAGTCGGGCGATACGAAGCGTTGACACAGCAGGTGCAAGTCGCGTGCGCGGGTTCTTCTGATACCGCGATGCAGGTGCAAGCTCTTATTGACACTGGATCGGTCGCCACATTTGTGAGCCGTGCTGTAGCAAATACACTTCGTGCCCCCTCATTTCCAGTTCCAATGATCAAGTTGAGGACAGTGACGAAAGAGGAGATGAAGGTGCGCGAGGGCGTGGCGCTGCGAGTTACTTTGGCGGGCCGGCAGTTGTGGGTCCAAGCGATGATCCTGGATGGGCCGGTGGTGCCGCTCCTGTTGGGCATGGATGTGCTGGCGGCGGCAAATCCTGTCATCGATCTGGCGACTCGGACGGTGCGGTTCGAGAGCATGAAGCCGGTTCG